TCTGCCTTTGGTTTCCACATTATTTTCTCCTTGATTAGGCTTAGCCTCAATTCTCTTCTCTTCCCTGAGAAAGGAGGCAAGAGATTTGGGACTGTAGAATGGGGTTTTTAAATTGGTTTGCATCCTCTACCTGGTTTCACACATGCGGCATTCTCCTCTTCCCAGCAGTGCTGAGCAAATCTCTAACTATGGCAGCTCCTCTCCTTTTTGCCATGTGGCCATAGGGTGGCTGATATGGGAATCTCTCTTCTGCAATTCACAAATCATACAGAAACAATTCCTTCAGTGTGACCAGAAAAGGTCACACTGAAGAGCAGGAATGTGTCTTGGATTGGAGAGAGAAGTGACAGATCTCTTAGGGTAGGCTTTTATTTAGTTTCTGCTTTCTTTTCCCTCCCAACAGAAAGCAGAAATTTTGCCCTTTTTAACCCAAAGAGAAAAAAAGCAATTAAAAGGTGTGATTCTAATTATTGCCTTGGCTTAGAGTGAGTTTCTACAGGGAATGAAACTAACCTGGCAGGAATTGGGATTATATTATTTGCATAGAACAAAACCATTGCTTCTTTGAGTTTTTGAGGAGCTGACAGCATGTTTTTCTAGACTATATGTGCTTCTCCAGTTTTGCATATTGACCTTTTAGATTACTCAACAGTGACTCATGATAATTTGCACTTTGAAGGATGGCATTTTATGCAGAACACTAACTCTTTTTCCTTTTTTTTCTAAATTACTTGTCAATTATGGCCATAGACTGAGCAAAGGTTGCGTGAATACAGAAATTTAATGCCTTTCAGATAATTTCTATTTTACAAAGCAATAAACTAGAATTCCCATGTTCCTTCCTCTCTCTTTCTTACTTATATTGGCTGTTATATTGCCTCCTCAATGCTACAGCAGAAGTCCAAGTAAAACCAGAGCTCCACATTTGTTACTAGACATGTCTGTAGATGCTGCTTTACAGGCAATGTTGCAGAAGGACCTTTTGGTGTAGCTGGGAGAGGTAGTTGTGCAGCTCTCTGAAGTTCAGAGAAGGTTTCCTTTCTCTCAAGGCTTTTGTAGTGTGGCATGCAATGATAGTAAAACTTCTTGAGGCACTTGCATGTTTTATCATTTTCTTCTTTCAAAACTTAGGTGTTCTTTCAAAAACTGGACAGGAGGTGTTGAATGTATGAATGTATGATGTATGAATAGTGCAGTCATGTAGTACCCTAAAATACCATTCCATTTTGCTGTAAATTTTTGTGTCATGAGGAGGAAGAAGACTGGTTGGTAAGGGAGAAACATGGCAGAAACCCCCACTTTTACTCTCATTTTACTTCAGTCTTTTCACTGGACAATATTTGTCCCTGAAAAGCTACAGGGGTCTTGCCCTGAACTATCAAAAACTCCATTTCAAAATGTCTGAAAAGGCCCTCAGTGTGTAAGATCTGTTTCAATCTGTTGTTACATGAGGTGTCTGCAGTAACATAAAATAATACTTTTTTCAGATAAAAGACATAATGTAAAGGGAAAAAGGTTAGTTGATGAAACACAAAAGAATAAGGCAGGAGTGCTGACTCACCAGCTTGCTCTTCTGTGTCCATTTTAATCTGCAGAAGGGGGATTGGTTGGATGCTCATCTGGGCTCTCAGGAGGACACCTCAGCCTCCCTATGAAAAACAGCAGGGAAGGGCCTGCTCTCTATCCTGTCCATCACTGCAGCTCCAGACACTTGTCACAGTTTTCAGAGAGCAGATGTTCAAGATACCCCAAGCCATTTATTCCCACAGTCTGCACAATGTGTATGCTGTAGAAATGTATTACCTATGCGGGAGCTTCAGCTACTGTTAAAATGCTTTAAACTGCTCTTTAACTACTGTTCTCTGCTGTTCTTGATTGGTGGTTTAATGATGCTGGATCAAACCCCAAAGGGAAACTGGCCAGGACTGGAGGAAAGGGACTTTATGACATGAAAGACAATACCAGCACAAAAAATGAGAGGATAAATTGGGGAATAGTTAAGAAGCACCTTCTAATATGCACAGAAGCTCAAAAACAAATTTGCAAGATGAATATTAGGGTATTTAAGGCCATTTATTTTGTAAGACAGATCTTGAGTAGTTTATGACTCAAATGGATGCTTCATGTATGTGGGTGCTGAAAGTCGGGATTTTTTTCTTTTTTCTTTCAGTCCAAAGATTTTAAGACTTAGGTGTCCTTTTAAAATTTCCAAACTGTGCACAAAATATTTTGTTCAAGGGATTGTTGCAGTTAATATTGGACTTGATTATAGTGCAGGTGTATGTTTTATGATGATGTTGATGGATGTGTCCTAATTGTGCAGGACAGAAAACCATGAATATAAGGACATGACAATTTTCATAATGAATGACTAAACACTGTAAGAAGTTCTTGACTCAAAAAGAATTTTAATACTTTATTCATAGTAGCAGGAGCAATAGAGGAGGGAGGAAATAGAAAGCATACTTACTGTGGTTTGGGTGTTATTTTGTATTTTAACATAGTTTTCCAGTAGATTCTCTTTACTCTCAGAAGAGTAGATCTGATTTTTCAATGTGGTTATGAAGCGTCTGAGAGCTTTTAAATGATGCTGAAACAAGGAAGAGTTGTGAAAATTGACACTTGCTGATGGTATCCACATCCCTTTAAAAATACATTTAAAACTTCTGTGTCTTTCAGGTACTTGTCTAAGTGCACATGGATGTGGAAAGGAAGGGCGTTCCTGTTTGCAAGGAAAATGTTTTGTGGTAGTTGGTGGGTGAAAGGACTGTATCCTATAGGGAGTTACAAGGGTAGTGACAAATCAACAGCCTTGAAAGGTCCTTAATAAATGAATGCCATGTCTTGACTGGGATAAAAGAGAAACATGTAATGTTCTTTCCAGTCTTGAAACCTGAGTCTGAAGGCTACAGAAACCTTGAAATAACTTTCCATCACCAGCCAGGCCAATTCCAGTTACAGCAAGGGACAGTCAGAAAAACCTGGAGATGGAAGACCACTCAGTTACCAGCTACACTGAGTAAGAATGGTCTGCCTGAGACAAAGCAGACTTGTGGTGTAAATGAGCCTTCCATGACCCTCCTGACCTCAGCAGCTTCATCAGCACCAGCAGCAGTGAGAGACACGGACTGAGGCAGCCTGGCTGGGATCCTTGCTAAGGGCTGAGCCAGCTTGGTGACGGAAGTATGACTGGAGGCCCCACTCAAAACCTCCTTAATTCCTGGATGCTACCACATCCAGGAAGGTGATACAAAACTCCCTAAATTCAGAAGCAATCTAACCTTAACAGCATCTTTTGTGGAAGAGCTGTGTCTTTAGCTGACAGCATCAGAGGATGAATGCTGTTTTCAGAGGGGGAACTAGTCCATATTTGAACTACTCCATGTGGATTTAATGGTGTCAGAGTAGTGACAGCAGAATCACACCTTCTCTCCCCTCTGACTTTTTTGTAATGCATCTCTGAAGCAAAGCTTACGAAGAAAGAAAAATGAAACGCTTAACTTTGATCTTCATGAACAAGAAACTAGAAAAAGGCAAGATGCCTAGGACACTTACAGTAAAACTTTTTCCTGGTTATGTTTGTTTTCCTGCAAGTGCTTTGCTGTTCTTTGAAGCCACATTTTACTGCAGCTGACATTGTATTTCTGTAAAAGCCATACCCGCAGTTTTACGCATGAGTGGGGGGTGGGCGATGAAGAGTGATGGATGAAGCCATGGGACCATCTGGAGAGCAGCTGCTGCCTCCCTGCTCTGAGCCAAGGTGTCCCTGATGGCCAGAGCTGGCTGCCCACTGCACCCACCTACCCTGAGGGTTGGCCTCTCCTCCAGAGGCCCTGGGCAGGGAGCTGAAGGCTGAGACCCTTTCCCAGGTCAACCCTGCCTTGATTTTGTGTGTGCTGCTGGGGCAGTGGCATCACCCTTTGGCTGGACAGCAACACTAACAGTTCATCCCTGGCTCAAATAAGACAAAATCTACAAATTTACACAGAAGATAACATTTCTTTATTTTTCTAAACCTATATTGTTGCGCTGTCTTTTTCCCATCTGTGCTCAGTATCACTGAAGCACAGTCCTGTTATCTGAACTTGACTTAAAATGTTAGCATTTGGATAGGAGGGTATTAGAGAAGCTCTGCCTCCTCCTGCTCACCTCTAATAATAATTTGCTCTATACAATTTTTCAAAAGTATGTATGGATATGTAGCAAGATGATAGATGTGCTTTGCTTGAATAGATTTCTCTCAAACAGAAATAATCAGCTGTTCAATGGCTCAAGCACTGTAGCAGAGACTAAAAGAGGAGTTTCAGGATAAAAAAATACATAGAAAATAAAGAAATTGAGAGATTGAAATGAAATTCATTCCTTTGAGAAATAGTGCCTGTGTTTTGGAAGAGAAAAATAGACAGAAATCGTTGCACTTTGAGGTTTGACCTAACTTTTCTACTGAACTTTCATGTATTTTTTGACACGATAACAAGCAAGGAGTCAGCTGAGATAGGGAGGATTTATGGAAGCAGGTGGGACATCACTGTAATGTTGCATGGATGCTTCCACACTTGTTCTGTTGCAGGCTTTGAGCAGGGGTGATCTCTGGGGCCTGTGCTCTGTAACCCCATCCCACCTACCCTCAGGAAATTTAATTGCCTTCCTTTTTTGCTGCAGCAGTGACAGGGCTCACACCCAGCAATGAAATACCTTTGATGCATCGCCTGCTGTGTAATCAATAGCAAGGAAATTCCATGTGCTTGCAATGACAAGGGGCAAAGTAATAGTTTATGGGAAGGGAAGGAGAGATAACAGCTGTAACATCCCTGGCCTCCTCTCCCCCTGGCTGTGTTTGCCTACAGGGTGACCACAGAAGAAAAATGTCTGATTGAATAATGTTTGCACAAAAACCAGCTGTGAATTCTTTGGGCAGCGCCGTTAGGATGCAGTTTGTCAAGTGTATCTTTTGTTACTGTAACTCTAACAAGAGCTCTGCTGATGTGTTTTTCATCTAGTGAAAACTACATTGCCTTTATTCACCCTCTGTTCGAACACCAGCTGTGAAGATTGCACTGAATTGTTGAATAATCTCTGCTAATGTGTAAGTAATACTTGCTGACTTAATTGAGAGTTGGTCCTATTTCTTACTGAAAAAATATTTAATTTTAATTAAGTAAAGTAAAAAAAAAATCTGTTGGTAAAGACTACAACTCAATACAGGTTTCACTTTCATTTTGCTGCTCTATTTCATCTCATAATCATGTAAGATGGTGGCTACCTTCTTAATAAAAAAAAAAACAAAAAAAACAAGACTCAAAAACCCAACAACAACAACAACAACAACAATTAATCCTGCCAGAAGCCTCTCACAAAAAATTAACTAGTACTTGCAGCACAGAACCCCTGCAGATTGAGGAGGAAAAGATTTGGTGGTGGCTGACTGTTGAGGAAAAGCCCTAAATAGTAATACAAACATCAAGATGCCATCTTGAAGAGGTGGTATGCAGGTCCTTATTGCAATACTCATATTTTCACATTGCTGGAACATTTTCCTCTAGCTTTTACTATAAGCACTTCCTACAGAACCACCTAAATCCTCAGATAGGTTATGAGGCATCTACACTTGGAGTAGAGTACAGCTGATCTCCTGCATGTGCAGGCAGGATAATGAGGAATTTTGACTGCGTGCTTAACTATGAGCTTCTTAATGCAATTGGTGCAAAATGGGTCATCTGTCTTGGAAGGCAAGCTGCCACAGGTGGGCTTTCCACCCCTCTGCCCTGCCCTCCCTACAAGACAGACATGTGAACACTGGGTTTGAGAAGAAGCTCTTACCCCATGGCTCACAGTCCTGTGTGGCACTCAGTTTGCCCATACACTATCCTATCAGCCTTTTTCCTTTATGCTGTATTTGTGCCCAAGCTGCCTGGTTATAGCCTGCTTCATCTACTTATAAAAATAAAATTGTGTTTTAGAACTATCCAAACCTTAGAAAGTTTTTGGCTCTTTTTTCTCCTCAGAATTTGCATAGGTGGGCAAATAAACAGCCAGAGGATGTAAAGAATTCTTGTTAAAGAAAACCAAAAGCCCTAAATATCTTAAATGTCTGGAAATTTAACATCTTTTTAAGCTCTGTATTTTTGGCTTGACTAATAACATTTACATAATCAGAGAAGAATCTGGTGACGACATTACATTGCTCATTACATCAACTGGTGTCAGAGAGAATGATGAAAGAGCAGCCTTTTAAGATTTTACTGAGAAGGTAAGACTTATGTTCCTTTTCAGGTCCTGCATATTACTTCTTACTAGCTTTCACTGGTTTCCCCTCTAAATAAGAATTAAAGACTAGTGCTATCTATCCAGAAATCTTGCTGAAGGCAGGAGTAAGAACCATACAGGAAAACATATTGTTCAGAAGGACTAGTTTGTCCCTGTATTGACTATCTGTACTTTCTTCTGAGGACGTGATCTCCTCTCTTCAGCTTGTGACGTCCCAGATTTTCTGGAGAGCCATTCCCTTTGGCAGTCCTGCCACAGCCAAGTCTCTGTGACATGACCTGATCCAAATGGCACACAACGTGTCAGCCTCCTGTCATTTTTCCACTTGGCATGCTGCAGTGTGCTGTTTATTCTCGAAAACAACAGCGAAAGAAAAAGACTCAGAAATGTGTTTTCTGACACACAAATTGGCCTCCCTTTGGAAAGCAACCTTGCTGTCAAAAGGCAGGGTGCAGGTAAGTGTTTGCTGCATGAGGAATGTCAGTGCCACTGAAGTACTATAATGCCCTCCTCAGTCCTAGATTATGGAGCATTTCTCCAGAAATGAGACAGAAACACAGAAAGAGCAGGCTCATTCCTAGTGTGGCTGTGGTAGTATTTTTGAGGCAAAGCAAGCTTCCCACATGAAGAAATATCTTCAAGGTTTAGCAACAGATTGGTTCTGGTCTACAGCTGCCTTTAAAAATGTGTTTTAAGACTAATTACTTAGTAGTCACATAATGAATTTATTTATAAATTTGGAAAGAAAGTACTTAATGACGTTTTTGTGAATTCTTGATGATTAAAAAAATCAGTAGTTTATCTGAGAACAGAGGAAAAGCACAGTTGAATACTTAAGAAGCAGAATGCAGAAACAGAGGGACTACCTGGCTGCTCTCAGTACAACAAGGCAAACAAGATCCAAGAATTGCCTTGGATGTGCAGAACCTCTGAGAGGAGCAGCTGCCAAATCCCCAGTTTGGATCCCTGCTCCTTGTCTTCACACCTAGAACAGGAAGAGGAAGAAGAAGAGGAAGAGGAGGAATGCTCAGAGCTAAAAATCAGGCCTTTTTATCCATGCCTGGCCTGGCCATCTGGGATGGCTGCCAGCTGGAGGGCAGTGTTGCAGCAAAAGTTATTGCCAGTTTAGGAACTGCCACTAGAGCAGCTGCTATGCTTGCTTGGGACTGCAGCTGTTGGTATGTCAGTAGCATAAAGCTCTGTTTTCCAGCAGAGTTTTGCCAGCTTTTGGTAACAGCCAGGAGCCTTAATCACACTCCTGGATGCTCGAAGGTTGCTCAAATGTTGGGAGACCACACAGTGGTGTCTTACACCATACAGGGCTTCCATCTTTGGCCTCAGTGTTGGAAACAGAACTTAGGTGCTAAAGTCTCTGCATGGTTTTCTTTGATTCATATAAAGGTGTGATGCTTCAAGTCTTGACTGAGTTTATTGTATTCCATGTAGTGAAAAGAAGAAAGTTGCTATATAAGCAGTGATGCAATGGGACCATTGGATGCTGCATTTAATTTTTGCATCTCTGTAGCATCAGAAACTTTAAATGTCCAAAAAAGTAGTTGAGTGTTAAAAGCTGTGCAGAGAATGACTGGTATTTTGCTCAAGTCATTAGAAAGTGCAGGGATGGAGCAGGCCCAGAGGAATGTCACGGGGCCTGGTGTTGTGTGCTGAATTCCTGCAGCACACATGGAACACCAAGCCTAGCACTACTTCTATGTGCTCCCACACATGTACTTTTTCACCTGTCTTATGTTGTTGCTGAATGTAGTCTGCACAGCTTCCATCGCTGTTGCCACGACTCTCTTAAAACACCAACTAGATCAGAAAAAAAACCCCACAGACATCTTGGAGCCAGGTCTTAGCAGTGACAACAGCTCCCTTTGTGCTGTCTTACAAGTACATCTGCTAATAAGAAATTAAAATGTAAATGCCAGTGAAATCTCATGGGGCACACCTAGGAATCTCAGGAGAGGCTTGGTGTTGAAAGGACAACATTTCCTAGGGGCTGGAGTAGGGCAGCTGAAGTCAGACTTATTCAGAGACTGTCTTGTCAGGAATAAAATGTAGATCTGCGTATGAATGTGCCCCTGTAAAGATGGTGGGTGCTCTCTTTCTTACTTTCCACATTCTGTTGCTCTCCTTCCTGCTTGCTTTCTGTGCCTTGGGAGGAGCAGCAGGCCTGTCATGCCTGCCCATTTGAAGCATTGCAGTAGCCTATCTGACCTCAAAAGATGTGTCACAGTGCAGCTTTTGCTGGAGGCTATACAATGGATGGGTTATTCTCAATGGGAATATGAGAGTCACAAATCATCTCCACACAGAGACCCGAGAAATCACATTACAGACTTAAAGGCCAGTGGAAAGTCAACAAAATGCCCTTGGGCCTGAGCAAACTTTTGTCCTGGATCACAGAAATCGCAAATGTTGAGAGAAATAGATGTTGCATTGGAAATAGTTTTTCTGCTTCTGCAATGAAATATTTCTGTTCAATATAAAAATAAATATTTTCCATTTAGCTGAGATTATCAATTTGTTGGGCCATCAAAAGATAATGTCCAAGACTGAAGCCTCAGGCTCCAATGTCTTCAATGAAGGATCCACAGGGTCTGGGCAGACTGACATTCATGAGCTGCTGACTGGGTGCCTGACCATGGCCCATGTCTGTGAGCCTCCTCCCAACACAGGGCATGGCTACCACACAAAAAAGTTGGATACACTAAGCAACAGCCAGGTATTAGTTTATCTTTCTACAAGTGAAACAAACAAGACTTAGTCATATCAGTTTCTAAGAGGAAAGCCAATCTTCTTAATGCAGAGTATATGCAATTCATTATTCATTTCAGTGAAATGCAGAGTGCACCTTGCTGTGCAGGCCAGCTGCTCATTTATAAAATTGATTATGCATTCTCTAAAGCCATCTCTAGGGAGCAGCTAAATTGCATCCACTGCCACCAAAGTCTTTGATATCCCCATGGTTGAAGAATATTATAATAGCAAGGAATAAAAGAAAGATAGGCTATGTTCTGATTTTTGATGTTTGTCAGATTTTGCTTGCCTCAAAATGTTTCAGGAGAATGTGTTTCTGGCATAAAAGCTGCCCTTAACCTCACAGCAGGAGCACCCCAAGAAGTCTTGGAAATTGAAGGCTCCTTTTATTGTAAAAAAAGGTAAGAATTCATCTGCTTTAAATTTTTTCCCCCATAATAATCAGGTGTGTGGTTCAGATAATACCATATTGACTCTTTGATTCTGTTGCTTTAATACGACTTCACCATCATCTCTGTGAAGAGTATATATGATATATATGATAACACTGTATGAGAAAATCTAGCAGTTTAGTATTCACTCTATATATCAAATAGCTGGGCATCAAACTGCCTGAACTTTGACTTCAGTGCAACTTTCTGGAACAATTTTTTCCCTGAAACTAAACCTTAATGAACTGCTCACCCTCCCCTCAAAAAAAGCTTCCCTATACCAGTGTAGGCAATCATCAAAATGTAAAGCAGATACTGCTTATAAGTGGATCATGAAGAAACTGCAGAAAAATTAAAAGGTTGCATGGGTTTTCCTATTTTCTAGTTTTAAATTAATTTAAACCTTTTATTTCACAGTGATTTTGTAATTAGACAAGCTATAGCTATAAACCTAATAATCCCTGAGTGACAGACTGTGGCATATGTTGTTTATGCTTTACAAAGTCATCTATAATCCCTGGCTTTCAGGAACTGCTTTAGGTGGTATTTTCAGCTCAGAGAAGGGGCAGGCTGTGGAAGGATGCTGGAGCTGCCAAGGTCCAAGGGAGCTGTTGCTGTAGACACCAGTTTTGAAGGGGCAGAAGGGGCCTCTTAAGATCTGGTTCTACCTCCATGCTTAGCCAAATGTCTCCTACACATTTCTGGATTAAGGATGACTGTGAGCCTCAAAATGGACATTTCCCCAGTTCGGTAGCCAGAGCCAGACTGACTCTGCAGGGAGGTAAATTTGGGAGGTAAATTTTTCCAAGGCCTTTCCCTGCAGCCCTAAAAGCCAAGGTCACAAGTGCTTGACAAGGGCTTTTCTCTCTGCTCCTCCCTGTTATGAAAATACAGACTTCATGGGGCTGGAGGATGTACTCTAGTGACTGATATAAACACCTACAGGGTGCTTACATTGCTTATTTTATTTTATCCCTCCAACCCTGCCTGAGGAACAGCTCTGACCACCTGCTTCTTTCAACCAGCACATCTGCAGCTCTTTCACAAGACAGTTTCAGACTTGTGCAGTCAGAGTGTGGAATGTGACTGCTGCTGTGAGCTGCACCCTGAGGAGTTGCATGAGCTCAGACCCTAAACTTCTCTGTGTGTTCTCTTGTGCTGGTTTGGCTGGGATAGAGATAATTTCTTCACAGTAGCTGTAGTTTGTATTTGTGGCGAAAACAGAATTGATAACACAAGGATGTTTTAGTTATTGCTGAGCAGGGCTGGCACTCAGGCTTTCCTGCCTCTCATACCACTCCAGCAGCGATCAGGCTGAGTGCACAAGGACTTAGGAGGGTTTTTTTCCATAATTTTCCTGTTTAAATATTGGTGCTGTATTAAAACAAACAAACAAACAAACAAAAAACAACTATAAAACCCCCCATTCTAAGGTTCAGAGAGTCCCTGGGCCTGATCCACCTGAAGTACTGGGGAAAGACAGAAAGTCAAGGTATCTCTCTGTAAATCAGATGCATAGCACAAAAATGACCCCTGTTCAGGCCTAGACTTTAGATACTTGACCTTCTGGGTCCATAGCTGTGAGTGAAATGGAGCTGTCTAGCTCTATCATATTTCAAGGTTCTTTAATTATATTTAGCAAGATCTAGGTCACTGCATTCTTTTCTTTTCAGACTCAGGGTAATAGAGTAGTGGAAAGGATTTTTGAATGCACAGGGCTGTAGGTTTAGTTAAGTGAAGGTCTTTACGACCATTGAGGGTAAGGGCTTAGTATGTGCTTGTCTGCCATTATACGGCCTGTGATTTCCATGTCTTAATGTTAAATGGATGGTCTTTCATACCTGTTGACTGCAGACTAAATTTTAGCAACTGAATAATTCTACTGACCTTTCTCTGTACTTTCTCTTTAGTGAATTGCACTTGGCAGTGCAAGCTTTTAAGATAGAAAGTAGAAAAATATTTCAATATACTCCAGGTGTTTCTAATGCAATCTCATTTTTCTTTCAGCTGTCAGAGAATTAATCCATCATGAGTTGGAAATGTCTCTTGAAGATACGTGCGTCTTCCCATTACAGCATGGTCAAATGCCAGCCTGTTCCTTTTAGAATTCTGTTGAAGATTCTAAGCCAGTTAGTAGCTTGATTTTTCTCTCTCCTGACTTCTTTTTGCAGCAGATTAGGTCATTGAAAGCTATGGGAGCTTAACTGTTAGAAAAATAGAGCACAGTGTCTCATTATTCTGTATTCTCAAGACAGAGCTATTTCTTTAGTCCTGATGCATTTCTGCACACAGTTTAGCAGCAGTGCCTTTACTGTAGCAGACCTGCAAGGAACAGAGGGTGATGGAAGAGAGGAATACTGATGAAATTTCATCAAAGACCTCTGTGTGTTGCAGTGTTAGTGGTGTGTGCATGTGTCATTGACTTGTGTATTTTCTGTGGTTATCTGTATCATGTCCCTTGAGGTGTAAAGTGCATCCAGACTATATCGGTGAGGTTTCTGTATTTTTGCATTTTCTAATGGCTGGAACAGGAGTTCAAGGAGGACTGAACAGTAGCTGCAGTGTATGATGGAGACAAACAGTTTTCATATCAGGAGCTTATCTGAGGAGAAAATTGTGGCCCTGGTGAAACATCATAACTCAGTGATCTGTAATGGCCCTTGTGCTCTACACTAAGTGCATCTTATTGCAGATTTCCTCAGACCTATTTTTAAGTGGTAGATGTATCAAAAATCTTAAATATAGCAATACTTGGCTTTTGATCCCCCTATGGTCCTTGGCTAAGTTAAGCTTCCAGAGTGTGGAGCTGGTGAAAACATAGGGATCTATGAGAACATTTATGGAAGTCAGCAGACAGTGTATGTCTAAATTGAATATGCTGGGAAAAAAAAAAAGAGAAAAACAAAACAAAAAAACAAACAAACAACAAAAAAAAAAAACAACCAAACCACTCCCCACTCCCTGCTTTTCCACAAATTCCCCGCATAACCAGGCTGAAGTCAGGCACATTCTTCTGCTTGGAGTCTTCAGATGTGAGCCTCTTCTCTGTCTCTGAACAAGATTAATCTCGCCCTCATTTAACAAAATTGGCATTTCTGCCAAACATCAAGAGAGGATTGTATCAAAACATCTTTGCATGCAAAGTATTTGGATCTAAAAGGGAGAAAAAGAACTGATCCAGCTTTGACATGCAAATGGTGGCTGTCTAGAAAAATAACCCCAAAACAGCATTGCTATCCAGGATCAAAACTTCCAGGACATTTGTGCCCAAATGTCTTCTGTGTGGACTTTTGCCAGCTGTACAGTACCTGCGACATTAGGGCTCACAAGTCAGCAAGACATAAAAAGTCCCAAGTGAAGAACTTGAGATGAAATACAAAATAAGGTACTATGGTCACCTGGGAAATGGGGAGCTATCTACCTTGGAGCATTTTCCTACTGCAGGCCATGAGGTTTGTTAGGATAAGATGTGCCTCCGTGGCTAAATTTGGCATCTCAAGAATAGGGAAATGCTGTGTTCTGCCATTTAAAGTGGTCCTTGTGCACCAGTGTCCTTTGGGATCTTGTGAGAAGTCTTAATCAACAAAATCTTTTCAACAGCAAGTCTTTCAACTGTACTTCTAAACTGGAGAAACTGTAGGACTGTTCAAAGGCCCTGATCTCCTCCAAGGCTCCTTTCTTTAGCCTCATGTCAACTTCACTGCAGTGACACTTCAAATGAGGAAATCTGATGACCCTGTGCTGCTCAGTGTTTGGCAGTCACAGGTTTTCAAACAACATATTTCTCTTATTCAGAGGCCAGGCATCACTAAGCAGAACAGATTTAGCTGCAGTAACTTTTTCTAAAACAATCCTTCTAATAAATTAGTCTCACTAGAATTGTACCAGACCTGTGTGCAATCCCATGCTGTGCTGTCTTCTGTTCCAACATACACTGGGGAAATTCACTGGACGAGCTTTGGACTTACACCTCATCCATTCATGATTACTGGGAGATTGTGGGGAAAAATGCCTCAAAGGGTTTGTAAAAGGGAACAACTATTCTATAAAAAAAAAAAATCGACACAAACCCAAGGTACCTCAGTCCCACTTAGGAACCAGGGCTGTAAATTGCCTTACGTGCTATAAACTCCTTCTTCAGTCAGGCACCAAGTCATGCAAATCACAGTTCTCTGCCAGTCTGCAGAGTGCTTAACTACTGTGTAAGGTGCAGGTACCCAAAATCCCATCTTTCTACCTGATTTTGGGTCTTCAAACAAGGTGCCCCTTACAGGGAGCACTGGGCTCCTCATTAGTGGAAGAAGTACTTCATATGAGGATATTCATACTTTATGTTACCAACACGATCTTAAAACATTAGTTTGTATTTCTTAAAGCATAATAATGTTCTTAACAAAAAGTTCTCAGCCCGTTTCAACATCTCCTGTCCCTTCTGTCCTCTAGGTTACTCCTTGCTTTAGTTTCTTCTGATATGCAAAAGGTAAACAAAAGTAATGCAAAATTGTGAGTGAGGATCATACAGAGATTATCTCCAGAAATTAAAAAAAAAATAAAATAAAATTTGGTCTCCCCCTGCTGTGTGAAACAGAGTATTTTGAATTGTGCCTATTCCCAAAAGCAATGTTACTAGACTTGGTCTTCCACCTGATTACAGAAACAAATGGACAAACACAATTTGTAAATATCAAATAAAATGAGACCTCTTGATACAAACATTTTACATTTATTGGAAGAGTACAGTAAAACAGGGACTGCAGACTCATTAGTGGTAAGTGGTCCAAAGGAGAAGACAAAGGACTATTCAAAAAAGGTCTGCAGTTTACAAGAAGACTGAAAATCTCTTACATAAACAGCCTAGGAAATTAAAAAGTTAGCTTGAGTTCTAAAGTGTAACTTAAAAGTATATAAAAAATTGGCAAATAAATAAAGTTAAAATGCAGATCTATTTAAAATATAAAGGACCGACAACTGGCAACTGTATAACATAGTTATCATTTTCAGACTTGATTAAAAGCCAGATAAACTCACAAATGTTGTTTTCTTTTTTTTTTTTTATTTATTTTATTTTACATGTACTTTAGGGAAGAAGGACCCATTTCCAGTGTTATGTATTATCAATCTGTTTCACAAATATATTATTTTTAAACAACAAAGACCATGAAAGGTGCTTTACCTGATATTGCTGGTGTGTATTTTGGCACAAAATTGAGAACTGGATACCTAAAGACATCTGCAATTGGCATCTGTGCCCACTCAAGGCTACTGGTGACAAAAGTCTGGCTTGTGATGGCAGGCCAGTGAAGTGAATTTCCCTCCTTCCCTAACACCCCTGCTCAGTCTCCAGCTGCCAACAGTTACACAAAGGAAAAGCAACATATGCAATTTTAAAATCAGCAGTCCTACAACCCCAGCCCAAGTTTCATCCCTGGAAGTCCTTTAATAGAAGGTACAGGGCAGGTGTTTAATGCAGGCTTTCACTCCTCAGTATTTCTCTGCAGGAGTCTGCCTGCCTGTTGTGTCCTGTGTGATGAACCTGTATTATGGGTTTTTCTCCTATTAAATGTTTTCAGCATTTCAGTGAAAATTAAATGGGAAGCTTGGTGGAAAAAAAAAACAACTTGTGATTTACAAGTAATGGTACAATTAACACTGGAAACAGACATCTAAACAGACGTTTCAGTTGAGACCCAGTGCAAGATCAGTTCCCCGTACACAATAATGCTTATCTTGTCGACTTGCAGGTCTCAACACTTCACAGTGGTGGGGATGTATAATTATTCCTGTAAGTAAATGTTGTATGGCATAGTGAATTCAAATTTCTGAAAGCAGAATTATGAAAATTAACACTGTCTGAAAAAGTCTATTAAGAAGAAGGAAGTTCATAATAAGGCTTAGGTGGAATTCAGTAATTGCTGTTGATTTTGAAGATACTGTTCCAATATGGCCTGACAGCAAAATGTCAAGGAGTGTATTTAGCATTTTAATTCTCCTATGTGGAGCAGGATGTTCTGTATTATAAACCAGACAGTAACAAATGTTGTTCCTCTGATGTATTTTATGATGTAGACAATTTGTGATACAGCTATTCATTAAAAATCTGATTTTAACAATATCCTTCACCTTGATTCATGGTTACTTCCATTTTCATATAAACACATAGCCCTAGGTTTTAAAGTATAGTATCACCACAGTACTTCTGAATTAAATAAAAGCAGGAGTGTATTTGGACTTTCTGTCACCAGAATAACTAACTTTGCCTGGTAAGTGAAAGGGTGTGTAAGTGTACATGGAGCCTTCAGAATTAGGAAATATTTCAGAGAGATTATTACAGCAGAGTTCAGCTGGAAGTGTAAGATTACTGCAACCCTCTTTAGAGAGCAGAAAGATTCTTTGAGAATTGAGGCAACGGCTCAGAATCAATTGCTTACATATCAATAATCCAAGAATTTTGCATTATTACTTGCATGTAACATTTATAGAATTCATCATATATTGAGAAAGACTGAGCTGACTGAAAAGAGTACAGCGCATCTTTTTTTTTAGCAATGGAAAGTTCTGGCTCATACTTTCAACAGCTGTAATGCAGAGGGAATCACTGATCTGATTTTTGTTTTAAAAAGTCTAATTGCCTTATATTGATGAAGAGCTTCAATGGCTGTCTCACTCACTGTATTCACAAAACTTAAGTACTTATCTATAAACTTAAGTACTTATCTATAAAAAGTGTTTCTAAAACTAAATGACAAATCCAAATAGTAGGAATTCAGGATTTTTTCTAGTATTCCCTGTTCAGTGTGAATCCTATGTTGCCATACTGGTTCAGAGGCTCTCTTCATCTATAAACAATAAATCAATGTAAGTTGTGTTTACAAGGCAGATTTTACTGCATTTTTTAAACTAGATTTTAGGATTTTATTTATCCATTTTTTTCTAAGTATACCTAACAGTTTTTTGTTTGGAGAAAGCATATAGATCTGAGATTTCTAAATGAACTACCCTTCCATAGCTACAATCTCAAACACCTGCAAAACAACCACGTAGCTAGTGAACTAATTAGTTGCTTAGCTTAAACCCCCAGCCCCAAATAAACCATCTGAAAATTATAATTTAAGTCCTGCCTAGATGATGCCTGAAAAAATGGTGCTCTGAAATAGTCAATAATATACAACTGCCTGAAAATGAACTCTTGAGTTAACACCCAAGTTCTATACCTGGACATATATTCCTGCTGCAATTTTTTATCAAAGAGAAGGGGACATAATGGTAACTTAGGGTTGTTGGTGGAGGTAGCATTTCCTGGGAGAGAACAGTAAATACATCTCTAGACCTTTCTGTTTTGTAGAGTAGTACTAAGGCTGAAAACCAGAAATTTCTTTTGCTTATTTGACAGAGAAGCAAAATCAAGGTGGATTCTAGGGTCAAAACTGTGAAATTTTAAAGACAGGGGTTTCCAGTTCCTGTTCTGTGGTACTTATTATAATGAACACAATGACTCTGATAACTGGATGTGAAAATATGTAAAAATGTTGAAGCTACCAGGCAGATCTTGCTGGAATTTTCAATGAGAGAATCTTCCCTTCTTTAAAATTTCAGATCTCAGCAAAGTAAAGTTGGTATTAGTAACACACTAACAGACAATTCTGCAATGCATATAGGAGTTGGAAATCACACTTCAGTACCACTTTGAGAAAAAAAAATGGTAGTAATTTTTGACTGTTCATGATGTGACATGTGAAAAGATTCTTCCATTTCAACTTGGAGCTTTCCACCTTTAAACTTTGTTTCTTTATAATGGGAAGCTACCCCAGGGAATATTTACTCTTAGAAAAACTTGATAGGCTCCTGAGGTTGATTTGCTTTCCTAGTAAGTTGCTGCTGATGATGAAGGGCTGCTTTTTTGTTTTGTTTTTCAGTAAATCTGCAGAAGGGAACTGAAAGAAAACATTTCTAATAGAGCTGATATTTCAAATTGACCAGATCTCTTAAAAACTCATGGTTGTTTGGAACTTCAGGAATACGACACTTGCCTTGTTCTTGCTATGCACCTTTTGATTACTAATTGAGATCCTGTATTACTAGAAGTGAAGGACTGCATGAAAATCATTCTAAGAAGAAAAAAACGCATAACTTCAGTGGTAACAGGGGTGCTCTTCCCTTTCTTGCCTAGGAAGAAAGCTTCCAACAGTATCTGATGTACTTTTGTCTTTTAGGAGAAAAGAAAATAATTGAAAAACTCTTCCTTTAATAGCAAACTATTTTATGCTTAGCCATAAAAATGTTACAAATCCAAGTGCACTGGCACAAACAAATATTTCTAGTGCCTACAAACAGAACAGCTGTTACAGAAAGTGGACTCTCAGCTCCTTTCTCTTTATTTAATCTTTATAATGACTTATTATTTATGGCCATCAACTATTCTCAGAACTGCTGAATACAGTGTTTGATGACACTATTTACACAGTAGCTTAGTTCTTCAAATACTGCACTCCCTTAAGTCTGTGAGTAGCACTGACATTTAGAGGATATGACAGCAAGAATAGTGGGAATGGGGCTAGTAATTAATCACTGTTAATACTTGTGCAGCAGCACATCTGAGAAAACTGGAGGGGAAACATTTGTAAATACGTCTGAGACTGGGTTACACTGTAACCTTAAAAAATGTGAGGGATTTTTCTTCTTTTTTTTATTTTGTTTTCTTTATTGCCTTTACAATGGGTGCAAAAAGGGTAACAAAATAGTTATAAAGAGATAACAAATAAGAAACTTCATAGTCAATTTTAATGATGTGCTTGTAGGATTTAAGTAGGCATAACAGGTAGTCAAAGACATGAAAAAATACTTGAGTATGAATAACCTAATATTTTCTCAACCAGTTTTCTCTTTCCTGTCAGTAAGAATGGGCTTACCAGCTGCACTGATGGCCTTCTGATGATGCACTTCCCAATAGCAATTTCCAAAAAAGTTTTAGGCAACTCAGCAAAAGGGCATATTTTTGTTAAGAAGAAATGCAATATAACTAGTTGATAAACAAAAAGCTAATCCATTGTTTTTCACAAAAACAAATGAAAATGCACATTTCAGAGATACTGCCTTTGTGGGATGCTAACTCTACATCACTACCCTTTGCTGAAGCAAGGTTTGTTTCCATACAAGATACTTTTTACTATTTTATATTTCATAAAATAAAGAAGCTTAGAAAACCTTATGACTTCACTGAGGACTGGACTTGAAAGCTAATATGCACTTATTTTCTACTAAAAACAAACTAAGGATGCACTTTTTGCCATCAAAGCAATTTTCTTAAAATAATGAATGCAATGCCTGGGAAAAACATAAAAATAGGAGATAACCTGTTGAATCCCTTCTCACATTACAAGCTGAGGATAACAGTATTTAGTTTCCTATGTTTAACAATGTAAAATAAGTCAAGATTCCCTCAGGGTCCCTCTGGTAGTGACAGTGCCAGTGTTAACAACCTAACCTGAAATCCATGCTTGCAAAAGAGACTGAAGCTTAACTTTTTAAGTTATCTTTTTAAGTTCTCTATGATAGACACAGTACATGAGCCAAATGACCAGGATCTGGCTAACCTGGTAAGATTAACCTGACAACAAGATGAAGTCAACAAAAGGCCATGGAGAGAAGATATTGAAGCTTTGCTTCTTTAGTGTCATGTCGTTATTATAAATTTGATGGCATGGCAGACTTGGTTGTGACTGCCCCTATGAGAAGCCTACAGTATCAATAGGCATGGATTCCACTTCCTAAATTGAATAGTTTCAGCAACTACAACTCAGACATGACGAACAAATTCTGCCACAAACTGTTAAATTAATGATACAAAAAGTTTAAATAATTGAAAAAGACATGTATCTGTGTTCAAATTTATTCTTTGCTTATAAAGCCATTCTGGTATTCTCTCAAAGTATTACTAGTTTTGAACAGAACTGGTGCCTACTTCAGTAACAGAAACAAAGTTTCCTAATGCTGTACACATCTCCTGTTTTAAAAAGACTTTAAATTTAAACAGAAATGTGATATACATGATGGAGGTTAACTACTTCAGAATAAAATGTTAGTACTGTCTTTATCCTTCTGTGAGAGTCAGGATGGTAACTGGTTAAATTATGACAAACACAACAGTATTATATTTTAACTGAATAAAGCAGTATTTCTTGCTGTCAAGAGGATATATGGCAAAGAAACAGTCCATCTCTCTAACAAAAGAGTATTAACTCTCCAGAAAAGCTATGAATGCTGACAATTTTATCCTTACTTGCAGACTTCAGGGATGCATATGTAAGGAAAGGCAGTTGGATGCAACTCCAATTTTCCCAAATGATTGTGAAACATCTTTTAGATCTTAGTACACTTGCACTTGCATTAGCATACTAGCAAATTAAGGCACAGACTTTGTGTACTACTTAGAAGCATACAAGCTAACAAGAACATTTCCTATTGCTCTTTAGAAATATCTCTGGGCTACTTGAAGTACAGAACTAAGTAAATATATCCAGTACACTTACAATGAAGTTTTAATTAATGCCACCAAGTTTTCCAAGCACTACACTTTAATGGGTATGTGCATATAAATGCTTCCTTATCTCCAAGAAATTAATCACTTAACAAAATGCAAGAAGCACATCCTTACAGCTGGATACTGATAATACCACCTCAAATGCAGGTGATGTGATCCCACACAACCATTCACTGTTGTAGTTGGACACTAATTCCTATGTAACAGACAGATTCTTCTAGACTACACATATTTCGGTCACACACAGCCCTAAACCACCACTCAGCACTACTGCAAATATACTTGAAAGAACAGAAGATGATGTGAACAATAGAAAAGCCACCCTAACAGAAATAAAAATGTAATGTAGCCACTGACTTCACTACATCTCAACCCCACTGTAACACTAAAATATAAGGCTAATTAACATTCTAGATGCTGTGTTACTTACAATCCCTGTTTCTTACTTGCATTAGCAGCAACTGGTATCCCTTGATCTGAATAGTTTAGTAAATTCCTAGAAATATTTTAAGCACCTTAATGCTGGAACTCAAGACAGGGATACGGTAACTTGTTCCTATTTCCATTCAGAGCCCTAGGAAACAATTCCAGCTGCAAAGAAGACCTAGAGTCAAAGTAACAAATGGTGCACTTCCTCCCTCCCCTATCTAGTAAGTTTTTATTCTTTCTGGCTTTTTTTTTAATATATATTTATATGTATATATATACAAACACAAGGTTTATATTCTTGGTGCATTTAAACCTTGTTTATCCCCAGTCTTTTGATATTTGATTGCAATAATGTAAGAAAAATAGAAGGTTAGTATTTCTACTCTGCTGTTCCCTGTCAGAGGCTTCTTTCCTTTTGGTTGTCTGAACAACTTCCTCATGCCATACAGAAGTAGTATTTTCCTTTGGACACTATGCATGAAATGTTCTTTTGTTCAGAATAAACTTGCATTCTGAGAATTTCTACCAATTTAAGGGAAAAAATCAGGGTCAAAAGCAAATCTAGCAACATATCCTTTAGCGACTCTAAAATCAATGATATTTGTTATTTGCTGATATCATTAATAAACTGCTTTTTCTTGGCCTACTACTTTCACATATTCTTTGGAAAGCAGATAGTTTGCAGTATGTCTTAGCATGTGCTAAGAAATATACTTTATATTGGTCTTTTTTCTAAAATAAACATAAACATAGGTCACCATAAAAGAAACAAGTTACTGAATTCTGATGGCACTGAAGGAGAAAAAAGGCATTAAGTAGATCACATATAAAGTCAGAAGTATTTCTATTGTATGGTAATAAATGCACAAGTAATTCAACTACCAAAAAAATTCTGGATTTTTCCATTCAGTAAGCATGTTTGCATCCTGAATCTAACTGAGCTTCATGCTTAAAACCAAATATCACCTAAATATATCAGATGCAGAAAGAATTTTAAAAAAAAAGCAACCTTCTAGTTGAAATACTTGTCAAAACTGTCTTCAGTTATAAGGCCAACATGTATGATAATCCCCACATTAATATGCTGACCTACAGGACAAGGATAGCAGAGTGAGAGCCCAGCTTAAAGTAGAATACCTCTGAAAAATGTCACTAGCAGTTATTTGCTGTAAAACAGGTAGAAGCCACAGTCCCTTAAATTTGTAATATGTGCTTTCTTATGTACATGTAACCTAAATTACAGTACTACTGTGACTGGATATATAGCATTTCGCAGTTTATATCTTAATGCAGGTGTAGATGCCATTCAAGATGGTACACCAGGTAATTTCAAGAGTAATCCTAGAAGAATATTGCAAATAATGCTATAAAAATGCATAGTGTTTGAGGGAAACAATTACTTCACTGGAAAATAAAGTCTCAGACACTGAGTTTGGCACTTCTTCATCACTATGTCACTTTCTTTTTGATTGAAGACAGCTCTTTCTGAATCTCACTGAATTTTGGCCGGTTTTCTGGCTTGTAGTCCCAGCATCTCTGCATTATTTTATATATTTCTTCTGGACATTTTTGTGGTGCAGACATTCGGTAGCCTGGTATGCAGAAAAAGTGGTGAAAACTTTTAGTACTGAAAACTGATGCGTATTGACAAATCTAAAAAGGTAAGAGTAAAGTTCAAGACCATTTCATTTATAAAGATCTTCAAGGCACTATGAGGAACATCTTCAATACATATCCTATACATGAGAGATGAAACTAATTGTTAATTAGTTATGAAACTAATTAAAGCTCAGGTACCAGTGACATTTAAGCTGGGCATGCTGAACTGTCATTTTGCTGCTCATCCCTAACAGGAGCAACCCACACAGATTTCTTTCCTGTATCTTAGGAAGTAGCCACCATCTGGTTTTCAGTTGTATTTCCTTACTTCCCTGCAGTGAGGAAATTGATAATAAAAACTAAGATGTGAGTAAATTTATTTACTCTTTTGAAGATGTATCACTTTTACTCTCACATTTCTTCCCTTTTTTCTCCTTAAAGAAAATTCTTCCCCATTTGCACTTTAGTAATTCATTTTTCCTCCCTCTGTTTTCTTAACTTTTTCATCTTCCCATTTTATCTCAACTCTCTCTTCTGGTTTGCTTAGATAGGGAGTGGCTTCCACACTTCTCTGCTGCCATCAGCCAAGGAGTTCTCTGACTTGACAATGAGCAGGAGAATGGACAATCAGTTAAGTAAATTAGCAGCTAATAATTCAAAAGTCACAGGTAAGTGGCTCTTCGGGCATATCATCAGTACCCTGGACCACAGAGGTGTACTTACAACAGTGAAGACAATTACCCAATGAGAAGGAAGTTGGGAAAAATGCCAGGAGAATCCTATGTATGAACAAGGAGCTTCTGGACAAAATCAAACACAACATCAGGTAATGGGAGGAATACCAAAACTCTGTTTGAACCTCTAGTGAGGAAGTTAAGAAAGACAAAGCCCAGAAGGGATTGAACCTGGCCAGCTGTGTCAAAGACAACAACAGGGCTTCTCTAACTTTGCAGGGGACAAAAGGAAGGCTTGAAAAAATTGTGCCCACTGCAGAATGAGGCACTGAGCAACTCAGCAACATAGGACAGGGACACTTTCTTCATCTTGGCCTCTACTAGCAAGACCAGCCTTCAGGAATCCCAAGCTCCAGGGACCAGTGAGAAAGGCTGGAACATGGAAGATGTACCCTTGGTGGAAGAGGACCTAGTCAGAGAATATTTAAGCACACTGGATTTAAGTTCTAAGTCCAGGTGCTCCGATGAACCCATGAGTGCTGAGAGAATTGCTGATGTCACTGCCACACCATTCCAAATCACCTTTCATACATCACTTTGACTACTGGGAGGAGTACCTGAAGACAGGAGTAAAGCAAACGTCACTCCTATCTTCAAGTCAGAGCACCCAAGGAACTGCAGGCTGGTCAGCATCACCTCGATCCCAGAAGGTGATGGAGCACCTAATGCTGGAAACTATTTCCAGGCTGTACAAGGAAGTCATCAGGAGTAAGCATGCAGAAAGTCAGCATGGTTTCACCAAGAGCAAGTAATGCTTGACAAATGTGAGAAACTTCTTCAATGAGATGAGTGGCCTGGTACATGAGGGGATTTCACTGTAAAATCCCCACAGAGACACCTTTGAATTTATGGGCCAGATGACCAGACACTCATTGAAAACTGAGGCTGAACAGTGAGCCCTGCAGGGAGGTGATGAGTGGTATGGAAGTCTGAGTGGAGCTCCAGGGTCCAATCCTGTGTCGCACCTTCATTAAGGCTGTGGATCCTTAGTGAAGGTGACACAGCAGTGGTGCACCCTGGCTGGTGGCACCGAGCTCTGAGGAGGGCTGATACACCACAGGGTGGTGGTGCTGTCCAGAGGGACCCAGACAGGCTGGAGAAAGGGGCTGACAGGAACCTCAAGCAGCTCAGCATGGGAAGAACCAAGTCCTGCAGCTGGGAACAGCCCCAGGCACCAGCACTGGTGGGGAAACAGTTTGGGCAGGAAAGGCCCTGGGGCTCCTGCTGTACACCAGAAAAGAATGCTAATGGCACACTGGGCTGCACTGGAAGGAGTGTTCAGCAGTTGAAGGAGATCATCTGCCCCCTCTGTTCAGTACAGTCTGAAGCCATGTCTGGAGTCCAGTGCTGGGCTCCCCAGTACAAGACAGACACAGGCAAAATGGAGAGAGTCTCATGAAGGATCACCAAGGTGATTGAAACACCTATGAGGAAATGATGAGTGAGCTGGAGTAGCTCATCCTGGAGGAGAGAAAGCTCAGGGGTTCTCAGCAATGTACATAAACACCTACAGGGAGGGTGCAAAGAAGGTGGGTCCAGGTTCTTTCCATGCCCAGTGACAGGACACAGAGGTGATGAGCACACACATGGGAAATTCCTCCTCAGCATCAGGAAACACTTCTCCTTGTCAGGGTGACTGAACACAGATTTCCCAGAGAGGTGGTGGCATCTTCATTTAGAGAGATACAAAAGCCATCTGGATGTGATCCTGCAGCTGGGTGGACCAGATGTCATTCAGAGCTCCCTGCCCACCTCAGCCATTCTTTGAGTCTGTGATTCCACAAATTGTTTACCACATGTAGCTCTGAGCAAATGACAGGCAGTGCACAGTGATGTGCACGGGACTCCACAGCTAAATGCAGCAGTGACTTCAGACTCATTGCACAAGTCTCTGTATGTCCCTTTCTAAAGAAAAGTGCCATGACACTGACCTCTTGAACAGGAAAAACTGAGAAATATTTTTGTTTTTTTTGTACTGCACACATCTGCTCTAGGTACTGGATGAATGCATGCAAGTTCAAACAAAAATGGCTTGGGCTCTAGGATTTGATTTGGCCTTTAAGGAGAAACTTTATTATCACCTACAGTGCTTATAAAACTATAAAAAGCACTGATAATGTGTGTAAATCAGCAAACCAGAGTTTTTTTGTTTGTCATTTGTTTTGTTTTACATAATTTGGAAGTTTTACTAGCTTAGAACATATTTATAAATTATACAGTAGTACTATGTAGGGAAGGAACAGTTCTGACATGCCACTAAAGACAATGAAAATAAATCACACTCCAGAAATCCTGCTCATAGTTATTTGCTATTTTAAGTAAAAGCCTTTAGATTATTTTGTAAAAGAGAAATGCAGCTTGCAATGCTCAACTAGCTCACCATTCTCCACCATAATTGCTAAATCTTTCTGTGAAATGATTTAATAAAGAAGATGGAATGATAGAGATTTTTTTCTGGCAGTTTAGAATATTTATACCTGCATTAACATAATCTTAAATAATTCATTCTGTTCAAGCTTCTGCTTTGCACAGCAGTAAATCCCTCCTTTCCATCTCACCTGTTAGTTCTGCAACAATGAAAGGCAGCATGCTCTAAGACTTCCAACCTTTAAGTTACTGGTCAGTGTACTCCTTTTTTTCGAAAGGCCTATATATACCACCCTACTCCTCCCAGACAGCTAGATTCAGCATTAGGAAACCTCATATTGTTTCTGCTAAAGTTGCTACAAAACTTGTATGTTATTTCTTGGGTATTTTACACTGAATCCTTACAATTTATCCAGCATTTCTTTCACTCCCTATGAGTAATTACCTTTCTCAACTTGCTCTCGTGCTTGTTGGTTGGTCATTCCAGGGTATGGGCATACTCCTAAACTGAAGGTCTCCCACAGAAGGATTCCAAAGCTCCATACATCACTCTCAGATGTGTATCTCCCTAAGAAAAGGAAAGCAAACCTTTAACTTAACATACAGTGAAATTGGTGTTTCAGATAATTATGGCCCAAACTTCCTGTAAAGGTAGAAGTGTTATACTGACGAGCTTCAGGCAAAGCAAAGCTGTAGCTATTAATAAAACATTCTACAGATTCCACAGTCCCCAATGTTTCAAAGAATGAACAAATTATATTAGAGCCAATACTTTGGCATAACATAAGCTAACCTTTAGTTCTACTATTATATACAGACTACACCACTCTGTCATGCAAGAATTTCTTTCCTTCTTAATGTATAAAAATATTTCTCTTTTAATATAAAAGGACAAAAAAAATCCAGGGTTTTCCCATTCATTTACAACAGCGTTCAATTCCAAATATTCTTTAAAAATTACCTTTTCCAGTTCTCCATTTTAGCATGGCAGTGTTAATTCTGAGAGGAGCTTCCACCATCACTGTTTCTAAGTGTGAAGAAGGCCTGGTTCTCATGCTTTGAGAAACTGATCTCTGAAAATCTAAGGCTGGATACTGCCAAACTTACACAACCAATCAGTTAAAAAAAAAAAAAATCAGACCTGCTGGTTCAATTGCCTCCAACTATGCTTCAGAAATAGCAAAACAGATAATTGATAGACAATTGAATTCCAAGCCTCTTTGCGGAATTATAGCTTTCTACTACAGGAAATAGGAGACATTTTGGAGCAGATATTTCTATTGTCCCTGATGGATCCACATTACAAAATTAAGACTATAAAGCCATAAAGCCTTTTACAGCAGAATCAGTGAAAATGTTACCTTAAAAATCCATTTTCAACATCACTTTCAACATTTTTCATGACTGCTCTTCCTTGTTGTATGCTATTAATTTGTATTTACATGTTTGTATGTGTTTAAAAACAACACTTGTGAATGTATTGTTTGTTTATCTGTAATCATCAAACAAGCCAAGCTAAGCCACTCCTGACTAAGAAAAAAAGGAAAAATTATAGTAACAGTTGATGACAGTGACAACTGTTCTGACGTCAGAAAACTCAGTTTACTCTTAGGCTAAATATCACTTCCAGCTGTGCTGTGTTAGCTTGTGTGTCTCATAGTTGACAATTATAGATATTCACTATGCTCTTTGGAGTCAGATTAGTTTTCTTGTCTGTGTATCAACTCCCCACAGCTGGGCATCCAGTAATTTAACACTTTTCACTGAAAGCATTCAGCAAATACAAGGTAGGCGATTAGCTGTTTTTTTTTTTTTTAAAGAAAGTGCAAGTTCTGTACAGTTATATTTTCTGCTATGACATTTTCTGAAGGGAAAAAAAAAAGATCTGTTTAGAAGATCCAAGTCCTCCCCATGTTACTATTAACATCACAAATAGCTCAAAATATTGTAGGGAGAAAACATACATATTAAATGTATTTTAATTTTCAAAGATCAGGAAGAAGAAATACCCCATAATTATCCTAAACATATGCTGGTTTTGGTGGCGTAGAATTAATTCTACTCACAGTGGCAGGTACAGGGCTGTCTTTTGGATTTGTGCTGAACCCAGGGTTGATAACTGAGAGATGTTTTTGTTATTGCTTTGATTGCACAGAGCCAAGGCCTTCCGTGCTTTTCACACTGCCATGCTGGTGAGGAAGCTGGGGGTCCTTGGGAGGGGACACAGCCAGGACAGGTGACCCCAGACAGACCAAAGGGATATTCCAGACCTTGTGACATCAGTCTCAGTGGGGGAAGAAGGAGGAAAGGGGAGACATTTGGAGTGATGGGGTTTGCCTTCCCAATAATGGTGTAGAATGGCTCTGAACAGCACCCACAGAACCAAAGTTTCCATTTCTCAAAAACTCCAGTGACATCTGAATTTTGCTTCTGACTTCTAACACAATTTGTGTTGGAACCACAACATTTGCCCTAGACTGGTTTCTTGCCTTCACAACTTGTGTTTTTTCTTAAATTAACATACTTTAATGACCACTCTTAATTTGTCACATACAGTAACTTCAGCAGAGACCAAAAAAAGGAACTTTTTTGTAGCTTCTTAACCACATTAGCTTAACATTAGCATTCATGTAATGGCCAAATGACCCTATTCCTCATTTTCCTCCAACCTTTGAATCTTGATATTCAGGACTAACCTGGCCAGTGTTAACCAACTAGTTTCAAAATAGTGCAGATTTAGTTTTACTTCATTTTAATATCTTAAAAACCCCCAGTCTTACCTACACAATTCAATGCAATTCTTACAACCTTGTTATTAGAATGGAAAACAATAAAACATAATCCAGTAAGTTTTATTAATATCTTTCAAGGGAGTGGAAAAAATTATCCTTCAAAAACACAGAGAAATCTTTTATGACATTTTGAAAGCTGAATATTGACTGCTGAACATATTAACATGTTTGAGAGAGCTTATTTCACAAACATTACAGAAGATGAATATTTTTCATTTTATAGCTGCTGGAATATGTATGTGCTTTAGGAAACAAAAAATAAGTCAATGTTAATCAACAATCCCCTCTTCTCCTGTACAGTGCAGAAAAAAAACAGACTCAGCAGTACAAAGTGAAGGTGCTGTCACAAGAGCCTGCTCCCTGCTAAATGTAGCCAACTGGACCACGTATGCATATAAGGATAGGTTTTCATAATACATCAAAAACACTGTGTGCATTTCCAAAATAACAAAAATAAAAACCCAAACCACCATTTATAGTGGACCAAACACCCAACAGAGCAAAGCATTCACCAGTGAATGCTGGCAACACTAATATCTCTTAGAATAATTGGTAATAGAGAATCAAGTACTAAACTGAATTTACAGTCAGCCTTTTAAAGGAAGATCTGCATTACTGTCTAATGTCATTAACTGCTGCAAAAGTGCTAATGAGAGGAAGCATTCTGCTATCAATCATAATTAACTAACTTATGATTTCCAATGCACAATTTCTGAAAAAAGTCTAAATTTAAGAGATGGCAGAAATATTTATAGACACTTCAAATAAAGAATTCAAAAATATTTTATTCTGTGTATTCAACTAAAGAACTGGTTTAGAAAAGTATATTCAAAACATACCATCATTTATTAAATGTGCTGCTTCTTCAGAGCCCACTTTACCTTGAAGAACTTTTTTTTATAGTTTCGTATAAGCAAAAAAAACCTAAGAGCAGCAGCTTCTGTTTCTATTCTGGAATTATTACCCATGTAGTGTGGACCACTTCCCTCAGCGATAAAGAATGGATTTTTATCCCCAGTATAACAACCTAGTGATACACAAAAATGCAGGTAAAGAAAAACTGCAGTTAAAAACCCCCCAAAATAAAACAATGACTGTAAATTCCACCAATGCAATTAATTATCTAACACAGTGTTCTAGTACATTAACATTTTCTACTGTTTTCAACGAGGGGCCATAAATATGCAGAACTTGCCATTCATTTTGCTAACAATCATAATTTAGATGACTGACGAGGCTGTCTACAAGAATGAGTCAGCAGCAGAACCAAAGCACTCTGCTATTGCTGCATAATAACAATTCTGATGTTGCTGCCCTATTGTTTTTTGGCAGCAAAACTGCATTTTTTACATAAATCAGACTGAAATATTACAATTATTTTAAACATCATTCATTTGAACAGGGGGAAAAGAATTGTATGTATCTACACGTTTGCATTTTTTTTTTTTTTTTGCAAGAAAATCCAGTTATGTTCTTACCATAGTTCAGAGCTTCTGGAGCAGTCCACTTGATAGGAATCTGCTTAAGGCCTGAGGATGAGTACACCCCATCGTCCTCTTGCCGGGACATCCCAAAATCACTTATTTTCAAGATGTTGCTTTCACCTACCAAGCAGTTCCTTGCAGCCAGGTCTCTGAATTAGAAAAAGAAATAAACACCCACATTTTTACAGGTCTGAAAGTATTTAGAAGTCATTTAAACTGACTGAGCACCTCAGCCAAGATGGTTGTGCCTCTCAGATGCTTATTTACAAAAGGGTAAAAAATACTTCACAGCAGTTGTGGGGAAACAGAAGTGAGGAAAGGGGAAAAAAAGTCAGAAATAATCCTATGAAGAGGTGAGGGGAGTATATGCTGGAGATGCTCCAAATGCTCGAGCAGATAATCTCCTGCAGTAGGAGGGAGTCACAGTGGAGCAGGGGAGGAGTGTGAGGCTGAGGAGAGGAGCTCTTATGGCCAGACCAGAACTTCCATTCCCCACTCACCCCTTGGGGGAGGAGGTGAAGAATTTCAGAATGAAGGAGCACCTCAGAAGAAGGGAAGGGGAAAAGGTACTTCAGTTTTTGTCTTTTATTTCTCAGCATCCGACTCTATTTTACCTTGCAATATATTAAATTCATGTTACCTAAGGTCAGTCTGTTTTGCTATGATGGTAAAAGGTAGGTGATTTCCTTGCCTTCATCTTGACCTCCAAATTTTTCTTTCTTATTTTACCTCCCTGTCCTGTTGATGAGGATGGGGAGTGAGAAAGCATCTGTGTGGGGATCTGGCACAACCACATAACCCACCACAACTGCCCTCCATTTATTCCTCTACAAAAATAAAACCCAGATTAATGAATTGGATCCTATGGAAAACAAAATGGAATTTGAAGAAGCATCCTGAAATGTGTCCAGTGTGTGTTTCAGCAAGAAATCTGAGCTACAGCTCCATCTTCCCTCTGCCCATTAGAGTTTCTATCAAAAGATAAAAGCTATTCAGCATAGAAAAAGAATTTTGGCTCAGTAATGGATGAGAAGCTCAGAAAGTCAACTCCCTCCCTTCGCCTCAAATTTGTTTATTTTTTTCAGTTCAGGAGACATGCAGTAATAACTGATAAAAGACCCAGTGTGACTTCTCTACATGCTAATAATATATTATAAACATACTATATGTATATTAAATTTCAGTATTTTACAGTTGATTAAAATACAACATAACAAAATATATATTATTATTCCTATTGTAATTAATATAAAGGGAGAAATATGTTAAGCAAGAGGAGTAATTCTAAACCATTATGAACATCATGGACAAAATATTTTTAAACTAAACTTACTGTGGTTTTGCTTAGCTAAATAGCTAATATTCTTACAAATGGCTTACATGAATATTCCAGAAAAACTACATTAACTTTGATGTTTTGAATTGGAGCTGTAATGCAGTTCTGAAGTGAATCCCCTGAGCACTTAATGCACGTTCATTGGTTTTTGAAGAATAAATTTGGTGCATGCAAACTGCGCTGCTCTTGGAAGAAAATAACTTAGAATTCTGCTCATGATGTGCATGGAATCTGTTTCTCTAGCTACAGAATTTTCCTTCTATGCAATTTGTTTCTACAGCTAATGCAGAAAGGTCTGAACCAGTGGTAAACAGCTTCAAAACCTACCCACAGTAATGACAAAGTACTAAACTACATTTAACCCAAACTAAAAGTCTTGAGCCATGTTCAAGGATGCTGAAGCTCATACATCCACTTTAATCAGCTCATCCATATTGATATTGGACTATGTTATTCAATACATAGACAGAGCCTAGGTATGATCCTAAATATCATAACTTGATTTACAAATTTTAACATATTTGACTCATGCAGGTTTTCTGCCACTAAGAACATTAATAGCTCTAGAGCTTGAGTGATATAAACAAAGTTATTTGTGTGGCTTGAGAAGATGGACTACTAAAAAACAAATCTGAACTCACAGGCACCAGCTAAAGATGTGCACAAGTCCATAAAACAGTTCAGTGTGCAGTGTGTTACTACACAGTTTGATGTTAGCATGTGGTGGTATGGTTATATACAGCTACATTGATTAAAGCAAGTGAGCTGCAAAACAAAATCAAACTGCTATTGTTTATTCTCAAGTGTGTAAAAACTATCACCACAGAACTTCAAGAATTTATGAGTTAAGTTCCAATCATACTTCTGTAATTAGTTTTTATAATGTTACTCAATATAGTCTAGATTTCGTAACTGATGCACATAAGGAATGGAAAAAGTAATGAGGTTCTATCTCAAAGAAAATTTACAGTTAACTGAAAGCACAGGTATCCTCCTACCTGAAGTATGACCTAGCACTTAAACATATTGAGTCAGGTTAAGAAAAATCTATATACTGAGCTGCCTTAGGTTTATTCCTCATGCATAAGTCTGATTATTAGGGAAAGTGGTTCGCAAATGATATTCACATTATGGTGCTTATAAACAAAGACTACACTCAGTTTGCATAATTTTTGTCAGCTTTGCACATAGAATATATGAATTTTCTTTTCCATTCAGAATCACCTAGAGAAAAAGCTTTTCATCCCTACTGAAAATTGACTAAAACACTTCCATGAAAATCAACTTGCGGAAGTTCGTGAAGACTGTGACACTCGGTTCAGGATATATATAAATTAACACCACAAAGAACAAATTAAATGTTTACATGTTTTAAGTCTCATAGTAGTAACAACATCTTACGCTTTTAGCTAAAACTCTCCCATTTGTTATACTATAATACTTTCAATACTTAATTTCTCTTAATAAATATAAATAATAAATATATGAAGTGAGCACTTCATATATTTACTTCTGACACAAGCACATCTGCCTTCTTCTATCATCCTGTGTATGATATGCTCTTTCTCTCACTTATTTAGAAAATAATTTAGATGTGATAATTTCAGTCCTTAGGCATGGAAATGCAACAATGTTAGACTCTCTTGTTAGTATTTGTACTGTCATTTTACATCTGTTTCATATCCTTAGTGATTTGTTGCTTAATTTTACAGATAATTTTTATATGTATTTGCATGCTTAAAATAATTTTTTAAACAATTACACTGAAAGCTATGGGTACCTCAGCTTTTGGGGCTTTTTTTTACTATTATTCTGAGGGTTTGGTTAAGACATTTCAGTATTTTTCAAATCAATTCTTCACTGTACTCCATTATGTCTGACAGATTCCTTTAAAAGGATGTTCTTATTTTTCAGTCTAGACATAAGAGAAAAACACAGAAGATGCTTTCGGTCAACACAATTTATTACAGAAAATGGCATCAGCAACTATTACTCCCATAACTTTAAAATAACAAATTCATGTCTGTCAGTAAAGACATAAACCTACTAAAGCTTTCTTTAAGGACATTCTTACACTCATTCCCCCTTCCCCACACACCCACAGGATCTGCATAGCAAGTTCTACCTAATACAGCCACGCAATTCTGAGTTAAAGCAAAGCAAAACTAGAGAGCAAAGTCCTCATTACCAACCAGCAGCATAAACTGCTTCACTTAGCTAATTAGCCATTTTATATTCAGTCCCTGGATCACGCAGTTAAAATACTCTAAGGTGATAAAAGCAAGTAATTAATTAGTGAACAGGATCAGTTTATCTCCTCTGCACATTAAATTCAATGAAAATAGTCTATTACCTAAATATAAAAAAAGGGGAAGAAAGTAAAACTACAAGATAAATTACTGGGTTTTTTTGTGAACTATAAGATACTACCTCATCTTCATACACCTGATGTAATTTCCAGTAGTGTCTAAATCAAAACACAGTGGTGCCTAAATCTATTTCAGAAATTTCTTGAGATGCATAAGCTAATTTTGCTGTACTCGGAGAGTTCAGCAAATAACGTGCCTAATAAGAGAATGGAAAATATTAGAGGGCTAGAAGACCACCCTTGCATGCATTCTGTGTTTTCTTCCCCTTTTTTACTTTGACTTAATTATTTATTTACATTATTTTAGCTATTATAAAAATACTGGAACCATATTAACTACAATGCTAATAGCTTCTCTCAGTTTCTCATATAATGCAAGTCCGTCTTCATCTCCACAGATGGTGCTGGCAAACCAGAGAAACTCCAATAATGTCAGGTGCTCTGCTTGCCATCCACAGTTCTAGATGTTGCTCACTTCCTCTCAACAATAAAAATAAGCAGCTCTACCCAAATCACAGCATTGGTGACTCTCAATCACTTTTTATAAAGCGCTTTGCACTTAAGTGAAGGACTTAAAATTTTTGCAAAAGGAACTCTAAAAAGGAAAAGTAACAAAACAACTCCCAAAAATATGTATTCAGTAGCTGAACACATCTGTCAACTTATTTACTGTTTGCCACCCAGATATGACTCAAGGGACTCTACAGATCTACTGACACATTAGGAAACTCTTATAGTTGTGTTTTATTTAGGTAGGCTACTGTGTGCCCTCCATTTTCCTAGCAGGGCAAGTTGTCTATACCAGCAATTTTAAGAAAGATAAAGAAGGCAATAGTTGACAATGAGCACTTTCTGAGGAGAATCAAAGCAGTAGACTATGAGGATGGAAATAAAGCAATAAATGGCTGTATCATATATTCCTCCCTCCTTTTTCCTATTTCTGAGGTTGTCTTCACAATGCCTGCTCCTGGAACAGAAACATTCCTATCAGCATCATCTAAATGGTTTTTATCTGCATTGTTTCTCAACTGTTTTAGAACTTAATAGTTATTGCCTGTATTCTTCTGAATAGTTATTTTGATGAAAAAGGCATCACAGTAATTTTGGCCTATAACAGCCCTCTATGCACTAATATCAATGTAGATTTTTATAACAATTTTTTCCTGTGCACTGCTGATTACATGTAATATGCTGAACAAAATGTCTAATTCTTCTTTTTTTCTTCTTCTCATGCTGCATCTTGAAACAAAGGTTTGCAATCCAATTTCTTTTATGTGCCCATTTTAGTGAAAAACTAAGGGCTGGACAGCCATCCGAGTGGATGATAGGCAACTTCCTGGAGATCCTACAGTATCACAGTGACTAGAAAACAAAATATACCTTCTATAAATCCTTAAAGACAGGACAGACAGAGGAATAACACCTCTGCTGGATTCCATGCAACT